GATTTTTTCGCTTTTTACCAACAATGCGTAAATTTTACGCATAGACTTGTGCTGCACTTGCTCTCAAACCTTCAAATGACCACATTTGCTGGGTTTTCTCATTCCTGCATATATAAAACTAATTGCTACAAGCACTGCCGGCGCTGGGTACCGTTACGTCATGGCACACTTGTGCAAACACAATTTGAAAATTGTATACGCGTAAAATTTACGCATATTATGGTTCTAGGGTTTAAAAAAGCTATTTTATTATCCAATACCAAAATGTATGCAATAAAATCATACAATACTTTTTAATAAAATACTTTTACTTTTACTAAATACTTTTAATAAAATATTGATATATCTAACGAATTTCGTGTACGAGTTGCTTAATTTATAAAAAGTCAACTTAAGTCACAAAWGTCGACTATCGGGGTTGATTAATTGACTTCCAGAATCGAAAAACTAGAAGTCAATTCCAAAGTCAAAAATCTATTCCGCTTGCGCTCTTTCCATCCCTAACATAAAACTTCTTGTTTTGTTATTGAAGATATGAAAACTAGCTGCCAGTATTGCTTGTTTTTCATTCACAATAGATTAAAATTGGCCATTTTTAACAATGTTGCCAAGTAAGATGATCGATTGTCGCGTTACATGATGAAGCCTTTTCCATACTCACCAAATCAACCAGTGTTAGAAAAAACATTTAACTATCGTTTATCCAAATGTCGTAGAGTTATAGAGAATGCTTTCGGTCAACAAAAAGCCCGATTTAGAAAAATTGGCAGAGGTTTACCGGTTGCTCCAAAAAACGTTAACGTTGTTATACATGCATGCTGTATTTTGCATAATTTTCTAAAAATTGAAAATGATGGAATTCCTTCTTCATGGATCCAAGATGCTGCAGAAATAATTACAGAAATTCAACCACATCACACTACAAGAGCTGGGGAAAATGATGTAACAGCATCGGCTATTAGAAATGCAAAGCTCTGAGTTTTCGTGAGTATAGATGTATGGAGTAGCAGAAAACAAATATTAGTACACATAATTGCAAACATCCATTTTTTAAAGAGATCATTTTTTATTTAAATTCATTTTTTTTTTGTTACATTATATAATGTTTTAAGACTAGAAAATAACAAAACATTTCATTAAATAATGGTTTAGGACTAGAAAAAAACGATAAAATTATTTAATTTCATTGTTTTATTTTTTTGGATAACAAAACATTTTAAACTAGAAAAAAAAAAACGATAAAATTATTTTAAACTTAAAGTTTCTCTGCGATTTTCTCCATAAGGGTTAAAAATCTTTCGGATAAATTACTGTGCTGTCGAACAGTCTGAATTATTTCCTTTGAAACGTGCTTTGTTTCATCCGCAACCCTTTCCAATATCTCAGTTTGCTTATTTAAAACCTTTAACAATTCGGCGCTAAGATTACGCTTTCTTGTTGCAGATGAAGGTAATGGTGACGGCATCGGACATGATGGTGATGGTGACGGCAGCGAAGGTGGCAGCGGACATGATGGTGATGGGGATGGCAACGAAGGTGACAGCGGACATGATGGCGATGGTGATGGCAACGGAGGTGATAATGATGAGTTGGACGGCGGCAACAATTGGGATAATGTTGAATTCTAAAGAAATAAACTTTATAAATGCATGTATTTATATAAATAAAATAAATTTGTTTTTTACCTCGGAATATGTCTCTATATACAAAGCCGAATTAACGGCAGTGCACCCTACTATGCGATGCACAGCATTATAATGCTTCCTAGGTGAGGGACTACCACCAGAAGGTCCAACTTTGGTTTTCTCCTCTCTGAATGTAGAGTTATTAATGTGTTAAAAGAAATGTAATTATTGAAAAAACTCACCTGGATTTCTTTGTCAAGTTTTTCACTTTGCAGTGAATTTCATCGGCGGTGTATTTTTGTGCCATTTCATGCGAAATCTCATTATATATATGAGCATTTCSCTTTGCACGCCGGAGGTCATGGGAACGTGCCTCCCACTTTTCCAGCAGCTCCAACTCATTTTCTAAAGTCCACCCTGAACGCTTTTTTCTGCCAGCCATCTGAAATTAAAACAAAGATAATAATTTTCGTTTAGAAGGCAATGCAAAATACTAAAATTACTTACTTTTTATCTTTAATCGTCGCTTTTCCAAAATATCTTCGTTTACATTTAAACGTAAAATGGCTGCCACTGTTCTTATTTTTCATTCACAATAGAATACAGCTGTCAATTACTAACAATGTTGAGAGTTATGTTTGGATTCAGCAACGGAGTTAGCTGTGGTAACTCCTGAATTAATCCCGAAAAATGCAGATAATCCGGTTTAACGCTGCCGTCTGTCGGGGCTATTACTCTTTAAAATTTTCAGGATTAAACGGAGCAACGGAGTTATTTTCACTAACTCCTGAATTAATCCGGATTAACTGCATTCATGCTATCTTCTTAAACTGCCTTCTAAAACTTTCTTTTTTTGCAGATTAACAAGTGATTATAGTAAGTTTACGAAAACGACTAGACGTTGCTGGCCGTGATATCACACGATATCTGTTTAAGGTGTACAAAGGCACTTATTACATACATTAGTATAAAAAGAAGTAAGGAAAGCCTAAGTTCAGGTACAAGCGAACATTTTGTGCTCTTGCAACTTTCAGGAATCAAAGCAAAGGAAATACTTTAATATATAAAACGTTAACCTGAGGATCGAAATCCAAGCAATTTCATATACTTACTATATACTATGTATAACTTATATGCTGACAGAAACATAAGGTTTGTTAGAAAAACGAAAACCATTATGTGTAGTATATGGAAGTTGTGGTAGTTTCAACCAGATTTGATCTATTTTTCCCAATACCACATGTTCTTAACATGTCACATACTAAAAAATTAATCATATAGAGTAAAGTCAGTCGGACGTTCGAAAATCCTTATTTTATTATTAAGAGAAATTTTGGTATTTTTGGAAAATCAATATAAATCTAACGAAAAAATACGTTTATTATTATTTACGTTAAAAGATAATAGAAGGAAATAAAAAGCAGTAATTGATTGTAACGCGGAAAAAGTGTACGAAAAAGTTAAGAATATTTGAAAAATGGATAGCAAACTGAGCGTTGTTTATTTTCTGCCATCTGAAAATATTAAAACTTTTTTTTGTTAATATACTTGCAAATAATTTAATTAGCAATATAAAACTGCTTACCTTTGATGCTGTAAACGCAAAGGTGGCAGCAACTTCAAGCGACATCTGTCTAAAAATAGCAAAAATCGGCCATGTTTGAGCAGTGTTGTCTACTCAAATTTGGTAAATTTAGCTAAATACACGAAATTCATGGATAATATGATACGAGACTCTTTGATTCGAGAGAGAGCTGTCAAAACTCGAATTTTTTATAACATTTGCCAAAGATGCCACTGCTGAAAAATATTAGATTGGATATTTGATAAATTGTATACAACACTAAACTAAACTCTTCGAAAATGCATACATATATAAATGCTAAAATGCAAAATCATGAATTAATTTACATTATCATTTATTTTGCCTAAATAAGTTCGCACAGCTCAATGAAATTTCTTTTCACACTAATTTCGTTTTACTTCTGGCTTCCCGCCTTTTCTGAAATCAGCTGATCGAAATTCCCTTATCTCCTCGCTGTCAAGTAATCAGGGAACGCGTTTGAGAGAAAAATGAGAGCCAATGCTAAAGTCTCAAATCATATTATCCATTACACAGATTTCGGGATCTTACGAGCGCTTAGCATATTGTAACCACTAAAAAGGAAGATAAAAACTGCAAATGTGAAACTCACAAAATTTTATTTTTAAAGTTGGGTAGAGATAAATCATTAATTAAAAATTTTGTCACAAAATACATTCTAGTAATAACTAGCTTTGCGTCAGTCTTCACAACACAAGAAGGGCCTTATATCTTTTAATTTAGTAAAAAATTTCTCCTACACCTATTTTATGACAATTTCTGTCAAATTCCTCAATAAATTTTATTTCTAAATTATTAATAAATGCAACAAATTCTTCAGGCGGCTTCACTAAGTTGCATTTATCGATCTGGTTTTGGTGTATGAAGATGAATTCATTTGAATTTCATATTCTAAATAAGGTAATGACAGGACACATGTGTGCGTTTTAGAAATTTTCATATAAAGGTAGCCGCAAAAATAATTAAAAGCATTTTCCTTTAAAAAGTTAATTTCTAAACTACTATCTAAAGTAGTAGATGTAACAATGGAGTGTTCGGGCCTTGGTAAACCCTAGAAATCCTGCCAAGAAAAGTCACTTATAGCGAAATCATTGCACACATTAAGAAGAACATTATGGCTTTGTTCTGAAATAACAGTAGCTTCGGGTTCTAAAAGCGGCTCACTTTTTGTTACGATATTTACGTAACGTAAACCTCACGACTTCCTAAATAAACTAGAGAACCTGAAAGGTGTTACTTTAGTACCTCCCCTACTACTAATCTGACCAAAAAAATGTTGTAAGCTGTCCTGACATAGTCGTCTTGTCTTTAGGTAAGGAAATCCTGAGTGTGACAGCAATCGCCAAACCCGTCTTAAACTATTAATATTAATTAACCACCCCTTGATAAAATTGAAATTATGTGTTGTGTCGTTTAATAACTCATCTACAACCCGAATTGTTTTTAAAACTTCTTCTGCCTCATCTAAAAACTGGTTTTGCTCTGGGGAACCTTTAAAAACTTTTTAGTGGAACAATGGTCTCAGCAAAACTACTATTAAAGATATCGAATAATTTATTGAAAAAATTAACGAAATCCGCGGTATTAATAAAGCTCATACTCTTTGAGCTTAAGGCTCCCGATCTGTAAAGAGAAAGCATACCAGAAGCTACCGTATTACTTAACACTTGGGACGCGAATTTTACTTTCATTTTTTGTAGGGTATTGGGGTAAATATGAGCATCGGTTAATTTACGCGCACACCGATAACTCGACTTAGAGTCCTGTTTATTAAAATGGACTACATCTGACCAACATACGCGACTATTTTTAAAATAAACTGGTCACAAAAAAGTCACAAGAAACTAGTCCTATATTTTGAAGTTGGGTAAGGACTTCAAGAATATATTTCTTAAGGACATCCCCTTAAATGAGCCTCTAACAAAAAAGTAAGTTAACGGATGGGACCAAGGTTCCCCAGGTATGCACTTTTGTTCGAAAGAAAATCCCTTACTCCTAATTTGTAAAGACTTAATGCTACTTTGGGTGCAAGCTGGGAAACGAAGCCAATCTGCGACAAAATTATGTAACGTATTTTCCGAGAGAGAACTAAGTTGGCGCTTTAGATAGCGTTAAGCAATTGACGACAAAAAAAAAAAAATACACTCACAGCTAAAGTTGTAAAAAAAACTATCATATCGCGGACCGTGATTTTGGCGATTACTATTTAAAAAACTACTCCTAATACAAGCACCTAACTGAGGAGGAAATTTGCTGCAAATTATCTCAAGAGTATCTGACTTTGTTCTCAACATTTCCCTACAACTTTCTAATTCAGTTATCATTTGAACCAACTGAGCTTTTACATTCCTATTCACATAATTTTATTTTTAAAATCTTATTCTCTTCCCTAAATTTTTTTTTCCTATCTGTCCCTGCTCCTACCTGTTTGAGCTTCTTTTTACTTACTCTTTAGTACTTCCTCCTCAAGAAGTGGCAAAGGCTCTAAAATATTATCGCGGTTTTCTCTTTCTAAAAGCGGAAGCAGCTGCCTCGGTGCACCGTTTGCATTTGAGGCAGATCCTTCCATTTGGGGGAAAAAAATCTTCTACGCCCATTTCAATTGAATTTTCCAAAAAAGCATTTAATAGCATAAATATTGGCTCAATAATTAAATTGATGTCCGGAACTGCTCTATAAATAATATAAAAATGGCTAATATTTTTTGAAATACTCACGTCTCAAAAATTTGCACTAAAAACACATGTTATTTCTCTATGTTTCACTAATTTGTTTTACGTTTTTATATGTATCTTTAAATATACACTCTAAGCATTGAAATAAGCTCACATTTCACATTCATTTTGTAAATTTTCAGCTAAATTCAGTAATTTGAAAATCACTTATCAAATTTACGGCTGACAAGTTTATAGTGTTTATATTTACGAGGAAAACTTGCTTTGACACACCTTCAAAACCAAAAGTGAAGGATTTTTCAGCGTTTTCTTTGTTTGTACTTTCGAGTGTTTCTTTTTTCTTTATTAACTATAAAAAAAAAGATTTTTCAAGCTAAAATTGAATATGTGAACACTTTTCCAGTATACAATGGTAACTCGACATACGAGTGCCCCAACATGCGAGTTTTTCGAGATACGAGCCGACGAGCAAGTTATTTTTTGCTTTTAGTTATGGGCGAAATTCGAGATACGAGTGGCCTGAAGCTGTAGCTGAAAGGATCTATGAAAAATTGGAACCCGGTGTTTCAGTAGAGGAGGAGATTGTATCTCTGGGTAAATCCATGGGTCTAAAGGTGGAAGAGAGAGAAGTGAATGTGCTCATCGGGGAGCACACCCAGGAACAGACGACTGAGGAGATACGAGAGTTACAGTCACAGCAGCATACTGAGGTTATGCAAGAAATTGGTTTTGAGGAGAGATAAAGATAAAGGAGATCTTAGGAATGTGGGAGAGAGTTTCACAGTTCGTGAAAAAAAAAACACCCTGAAAAAGTGGCAAAATGTCGTGCATCTGACCTTTTTAATGACCTTGCCTAACTCATTTCCGGAACATTCTGAGAGGGAGGAAGAAACAAATCTCCTTGGACATGTTTTTTTTTCTAAACGGCCTACAGGTGAAAGCGAAAAAAATTTAGTGAGAAAGGCAAAGACCAGTGAGAATATCTAATTTATTTCTTTACATTCTCGTTTTTGTTTTTGTGTAATAAATATTTGATATTCAT